AATATTAAAAATAATAAATTTCCTCATTTACTTATATGTACATGTTCTTATGTACTTATACGTACATGTTCAAATTTATTTTAAATTTTTAGCAATTTTATTATAATTATAAATCCAATTATTCATCTAAAATCCAATTATTTATCTAAAGTATTATATTCAATTAAACATTACGTTTATTAATTAGAATATTATTTGAAATTTTTCTATGAACTATCTTATATACATATCTCGTCTCGCGTTGCTACGATCGCCATCGATCCATCGTTGAAGAAGATATGGAACTGGTATATATTAACAAACATTCCGGGAACGTGCCACCAGATGGAGCAATTATCTCCATCATGGTCATTGGTTGTAAAAAAAGACTTGAAATTAGAACGAGACAGTGGAGTAGTAGTCACACACGAGATTCGTAGTAGCGTGGGTGGTGTGACACCATGCTCGCGGAACCACGTCGAAAACAAAAGAGCATATTAACCCCAAATGCTGGAGGAAAAGAATGGAGCCAAGGTTTATAAATATTTGAATATATTCGATTTTATTTGGAACAAGAGAATATATATCTTTGAAATATCGATATTTATATATTTTTGCAGATTTGAACAAATATGGGCAGAGAATGCTAGAAAAAATGGGTTGGACGAATGGCAAGGGCCTCGGGGTAAACGAACAGGGTATGACGAAACATGTACATGTGTCGTTTAAAAATGATACAACAGGTAAATATTAGATTTAAATTCGATCTTCTTTACCCTTATTAATTCTTTTTTTAGTAGTTTTGAAATTCATTCTAATAATATTATAATTAACCTGAAAATGACCTGAAAAATCAAAGTTGTTAAATAAAAGTAAAAGGTATTATTGTCTTCTTTTTAATTTTCTAATATTTTTAGTACATTTAATTATTGAAATATTTGCAATACTGGTTACATTCAGGAACATAATCTCTAATCATAATATTTTTAATATTTCACATCAGATATCAGATTTGTTTATATGAATATAAATGAATAAAATAAAAATTTTTGAAAATTAATTTTGTGATAAATTAGTATATACTTTGCCTATGTAGAATATTATAAACATTATAAACACTATTAACATTAATGAATTGTTTTTGTTTAGGTATTGGATATAAAAATGTATCAGATGAAGCATGGACAGAACATCGAGATAACTTTAATGATTTTTTACAAAAGCTTCAAGAAAATGAAAATTATAATGTAGTGCAAAAAGAAGAAAGTATTAAAAATGCATTAAGTGGGAAATCATTAGAACTGAAATCTAAACAAAGCCGTGTTCGTGTTCAGTAAGTATTATATATATGTAATATGTGAGCATACAATTGGATATATATATATATATATATATATATATATATATAAATAATTATATTTATAATATATTTATATTTATATTTATATTATAAAAATATATTTATATTATAAAAATATAATATATTTATATTTATATTTATATTTATATTTATATTATAAAAATATTTATAATATATTTATATA